CATCATCATCATCATCATCATCATCATCATCATCATCATCATCATCCACTCTATTCGCCCCTCTCACACAAACAGTCCCTCCGTCGGCCGGTCTTGGAGGACTTTACGTTTTATGGCTATCTTTGCCTCTGAAGACGGACCCCCTCTTCCGTCTCAATTAACGGGCGTTTTTCTGTTCAACTGCACGAAACCGATTGCTTACCCAACTGGAAACGAATCTTCTTTTTCGCTCATTCGCGCTAATTTTCCAAGCCCCGTCCTGGGTCCCCTCTCTTTAATTTGAACACAACAACGTGAATCTGTTTACGTAAGGGGGGTTTCGTATCCAGTAACTTTGGCTTATTGTTGACAGGCATAACATCTCTCTAACCCCACCGCTCAGATAATTTACGCATTCAGAGTGAGTGAGAGAGAGAAGGAGAATTAAATTGACAGAATTCGTACCTTTATGTACTCAATTAAGGAAGTGAGAAGGGCGGAGGTCAACTTGCCACCCGCCCCACTCTCCGATTTTGCAAAGACCCAACAGAAAATTTACAATTTGATACGCTCAAAAATTTCTTAGCGTTTGCCCCACCCCCCGTGTGGCTGCTGCCAGACTACAAGTCGACATCGGTGGGGTCGGACACGTCACGATAGGGTAGACAGGGACGCAGGAATTCCTGTCCGCGCTCCCGGATCCACTTGTTCATGACCCACTTGCTGCCGGCCAGCACAGGACAGGCTGCGTGCCGGGAGCGGACGTCACCATCACCACTGCGAAGGAGGTTGTACCAGAAGACGGCGGCCCGCTCCACTGGCTGAACTCGGGCTCCAGTCCGTGTGAAAACTGTGGCTCCACCGGCTTGGACGTTCGTCAACTGAAAGTGGAGAAGAAGAGATTCTAGCAAGATGGGCTGAAAAGGTGCAATGCCTTCTTATTTAATGCGGGGGCTTGTTGACTACTGCGGAGTTGAAATAGTCGGGCTAAGGGTCTAGAGTTGTGATAGTATTGACCTCACTGAAGTAACAGCCTACTGCGTACATCAAGCGTGCGCTTATGGATTTTGACGAAGATGTTTTCTCAAAAACTTTCGGAACATTCGTCCGACCGCATTTGGAGTACGACATACAAGCCTGGAGACCGTGGGCGGTTGTGGATCAAAACTGCCTCGAAAGGAAAGCCACGAAGATGGCTAGGGGTCAAAGCTCCTTTCCTTATGCAACCCGCTTAATAAATCTGAACCTCCTCCCTTTGAGTTACAGACAACTTCGGGGGGATCTCTTGCAAGCATTCCGCATTGTAAAGGGGCAGGATTGCAGCCTGGTCTTCGAGGACTTTTTTGAATTTGTTACCACGACCAATCTCCGAGGTCACCCGTTAAAACTGCGTACTCAGCAGGCAAGGCTGGATGTGCGGAAGTTCTCCTTCTCTGTTCAAGTGGTCAAACCATGAAATGGTCTTCAGCAGATGTTGTGATGTCACCATCTATACAAAGTTTTAAAAAGAACCTTGACATATTTATGTTCCGAAATGACCAAGAGCGATGAGAATCAGAGCCCACCCCCTGTGACCTACCATTATGAGCTTGTTTGAACTATTTCAGCCCAGAACATTTTCCTGTATACCACACATTTTTTTGCGTTGCAAACAGGGTACTCAAAGGCTTACGCCTATTTCCCTCAATAAACTGAACTGAGCTAAAAAACAAAATCTTCAGGCTTGGTAGTATGTGGCGTACTGTTAGACCAGGAAACTTGCTTCAGCACAGTCCGAACACAAATCACTGTCTGGCCCCTGCCGCGAAACCATGGCGAATCTCTTTTCTGCGAAACGTTGAATATTGCTATCCTCTCAAGTTCTCGGTGAACTTTGAATTGTCTGATTAACTTGAAAAAGAATCTAAAGGATCAGTTCATCCGGTTGGATCTCATTTCGTAGTCGTACCTGTAGTAAGCAAGCTCCAGACTGACCCCTAACCCTAACCCCAACCTCTAGCCTTAACCCCTAACCCCTTACCACAACCCCTAACCCTTAACCCCTAACCCCAACTCCTAGCCCTAACCCCTAACAGGTGCGACTACGATATGAGATCTTTCCGTCTATCGTTACCTTTGCGACAAAGAAGCGAAGTGCGCAGGAAAATTAGTCCCGCTAAAACCCTTTGTGCCGAGGGTTGAATAGACAGTAACATTTCTCATACTGACGTTTCGAGGGGACCCGACCGGCGAACTTCTACAACGTCGCTTAAACTCTACTGTCGTGCGCACGTACCCCGGCCAACAGGTCAAGACTCGTTTTCTCGAGCACTCCGCTTCTTCGTCTTGAAGGTAAGGACAGGCTGCCTTTTCATCTACGTTCTCATTTACTTCTGTTGAGCAGGTTATAGTGTTCGAACAGATAGGCGCCCATCCAGGCGGATGCAAGTGCACTATTTTACTCGACTTAATCGAGGCATGGAAAAGTTCATCTCCAGCGCAGATGTGGCTCACTTGGTGGACAGCGGCTACGGGGCAGATGACATGTCTGGACGTCCTCAACCCTCTCCCCACAATTCCCGTTCACTGTCTGTTTTTCAAGTTTCGCTGCTCTGCCATGCCTTGCCGGGCAGGCATGGTGACTAATAATCGAAAACATGCGTCTGCCGACTTTTCTTCGTATATGAGAAGTGTTTACCGAGACAGCGGCCTATTTGACGACATCTGCCAGTGGTGTGCCAAGTCCCATACTGCAAGCCCGAGGTTTGAACGTCAGCCAGCGGACTGATGCACCCCATCTCCACGAGAACTGACTGTTCCCAATCCCAGCCGACATGAGGAGGGCTCGTGGTGCAGCGGTTGGAGGGTGTTGTTCGACTATTAGCTGACTTGTGTTCAAACATCGAGCCTGCAGTCGGGGACCGGAGAATCAGTGGCTGCTGGCATCGGAGGAGTGTGCGTGTGTTTGTGGTTGTCTGGGTCAGTTAAACTTTCCAAAGACTGAAGAGCCTCGCATTAGCCTAAATCAAGTCTCCACGCCAAAGTGATTCCCCTCTCCCCTCCATGCATTTTAACTGACTTAGTTTCTTGTCGAAAATGAGTTTTTCACACTGGGGGGGGGGGAGCTTGTTTGACTGAGGAAGGCTGATAGTCTGCGCAGCATGCTAGTAACGAAGCCATAATTAAACGTAATCAGAGCCAGTGCCTTCATGGTGGGGTTTTTACAACCGGACCCAGATCCAAACCTCTGGCCTGCCCCTCCCTACCTCCCCCCCCGCGGAGTTAGTCTACTGATGTCGGACGACAGCAGACAGTTTCCTCTGTTTTTCACGGCATTGCTGCTGAGCTGTTATGGCTGCATAATTGGCAGGGGATCCCTAAAAGGTATGCTATGTGGTGAGTTTCCATAATCAAATTTTAGGCCTCACATCAGAGACTTTAAGTAGACAGTAGCCGACAAACTTCATTCCAGATGTCACCTGCCTGTCTTGTATTAAAGTACCGCTGACTGATGATGGCGACTAGGTCCAAAACGACCATCTCGCTCTGGTAAGGGTAGGGTATGTAACCCCCCCCGCCGGATGGTTGGTGTGCTTCAGAGCGGTTTGCCTGGCAGTAGGTGGTGAAAGGGGCTATGCATGAAGGAGCGCATTTTGACTTCCAATAGCGTACAGTAGATGTGCTAACTCATGAAATGCCAACCAAAATTTCGAAATGCGTTCTGGTTTCGAAAAGATAAATTAAGTAGTGTTGTAAAAATAATCATGATGCAGCATAAATCTATAATGATTCAGCTACCACAGGGTGTAGGCTTTTGAATGAACTTATTTTCGACTGCATGCAAGATCTATACTTTGCAAAAAATGACTACTTAAGTAGTATGTAAGTTTCTCATTGATTTTCGATGCCCTTAAAAATTCAATTATATTTCATGGAAAACATGCATAAAATATTCATTCTTTTACTTATCCGGTAGAAAATCACGTCTTCTTCCAATTTTATACTCAAAAGAAGAGTATAATACGGTTTTAAAAAAGTTTCTAATTGTAAGATTTTTTAATACCGTTAAATGGCCGCTCATGAAACGTCATGTATCTGCATTTACGAATGTGGCTTGTAAAGTTAACAATATTGCTCAAATCCACTGCTTAATTTTATGAACCTCATATGGTCTCCTCTTAACATCGTAGAGAAATGCATGCGACAACACTACTTAATTTATCTTTTCGAAACGAGAACGCATTTCGAAATTTATTGTTGACATTTCATGAGTTAGCACATCTACTGTATCAACATTAAAGTTTCCCATTTTGGACTCAGAGTTAGGGTTTAAAGAACAGTTGAAATCGGTCTCGGTTGATTATTCAGGGGACTAGGGTTGCCAAGCTTGAACTACGGTTTGGGGTTTGAGGCTGAGGCTAGGGCTAGGGTTTTAGGGCTTGGCTTAAGGTTACGGTCACGTCCAATTTTTCTTTAAATGCTTACGAATGAGAGATTTCCCACTGAAGGCATGGTCATGGCTGGCGTTAGGTTTGTAGCTAACTACGGTCTTTCCAAGGGGCTAACATACCATATTTTTTGCCTTCTCACAGAGGCCAAATCTACCAAAAATAGTTCAGAAAAGATGTGGTAGACTTTTGAGAGAAGTTTGCGGAGCAGCAGTAATAAGGTGAAATTTACAAAAATGTGGTCCCATCGGTTCAACAGAAAGGTGTGGCTAACTTACGTAAACCATGAAGGTAGCAATTCGATTTCCGTGTTTCCTTTCATAGGCATCCAGTTCTCTTCTCTGTTAAAGGAAAGTAGGAATAATCTTGATAACTTGTGCAAGTATTGTCAGATGGAAAAGGTGAAAGTGGCTTTCATACACGACCTTTTATAGGGCTATTCTTTGGTGAAAATACAACCCTAGTCAATATTTCTGGGTCGAAATGTCAAAAGGGCATCAGCTAAAAAACCCGTGATATAATTAGAAGTACAGTAGAAGGACAACGATCACTGCTGTGAGCGGCGACTGTTTTGAAAAAAGAACTTCGAGGGCTATCAGATCCAACTGTGGAGGCAAGAACAGAAGCATAAAGCATTGAAGAAAAGTTGATGAGGCAAGTTCTGTTCCCGCCTCCATTTAATAAATCCAATTACCGTCAGTTCTTTCCATCATACTGTTAATTGTCCGGTTTCCTCCTCTGCATTCTGATTTTCGTTTGGTTTTTGACCTCGCGGTTCTGGCTTTTCTAACATCCTGCTGTTCTGTTCGCGGAAATTCCCATATTAGAGGGGTTGCAGTTGTGTTTTCCCCTATACTGCGAGGACCCCCTCCCTAGTGCATGTGCCTTACGATGTGTCAATCTTCTCCGGCAGCTGTAAAAACTCTTTTCCCTCTCCTACACTCTCTCCCTCAGCAACGCGAACTGTGCAGCAGGTCACAGAAGATGCGTGGCCGTACTTCCTATCAGAAATTTCAGGCCGCTACTCTCCCATCCGCCTTCGGTCTGGTCGCCTTGGTGAGATTTCTCCTCAATGCGTTAGGCGCTAATGGAATAGAATAGAAGACTTCTTGCTTTAGTTTACCTCTGGGTTGGTGTCCTGCACACGCCGAGACGTGGGGTCTAGTTTACTTGCGGTTATTTTTCATCACACGCTAGTGCCATGCGCTTCAATCGTGTAACTATGGCGCCCAGCTGAGATCTGAGGCAGTACATACGCAATTAGCGAATCGAGTGCCAGCTACAGACCCGAGTGGCATTTCCCCATACGGTTGTATCGGTCTGGTCAGAAATACACATGTCAGTAAGGTTGTCTCTTTAGTATATTTATGGGCACTTTCGTGGGAAACTGGTTGTCACTTACAGAGGCGGACGAAGTCACATGAGGGCGGCTGATGTGCCTCCCTGCTACCAGTGAATTTCGGTGAAACGTGGTTACGTTGTGGACGAGAGGCTAGCCATGTCGGAGGGCTTATAAGGGATCGGCCGCTTTAATTGTCGTGACACAGTCTTATCAGATGATCAAGAGGGGTGCGGGAAGGGAGGATGGAGCCAGTAAGTCGCCCCAACCATGATTCACTTCATTCGAAATTCATAAATGCTCCCTCGAAATGCCCGCATTCATAATCATCATCGGGTTCTACGGAGAACTATTGCTGCAGGTCGGCGACATACCCGTCTCATTGATTCACACCCGTCACGTCCTTACTGATTTCAGTTCGCGGCGGTCCCAACTTGGTTCCGTCAAAATTTAGGCATTTCTCCTGCCTCACATCAAGAGGACCCTGCGTTGCTTTAATCAACACTCCTTACAGAAAAATCGCAGATTTTGAAGCGCTGGGCGGCGCACTCCAGAACCGTCCTCAAGCGATCATCCACAGTCTCTGACGCCGCCCCTGCCCGGTTCCCCTAAGTGGAGACGAACAACGACCTGGACCCCTCGCCTCCCTTTCCATAAACACGTAGAGTCGTGCACTAGCTGTCTGACGAGTGAGTACCGGGCTCCGACGTGGTCCCCGTTGAATTCTAATTGCATGGCGGCTCCCGGGTGATGAAAAATTTACAATTATGCCCCAGATGATGTGGCGCCAATGAAAAGTTCCCAGAATTTCAGAATTTTCAGAATTTCGCCCATCTATACAAGCGGTCAAGTAACCAACAACTCTGTGACAGCCACAGAGGAATGCGGCTGCTAAAAATCGCCGGAAAAATCTCCGTTTGCATCCTTCTCAATCGTCTCAACGGGCATCTGGACCACGGACTTCTCTCAGGAGGCCAGTATGGCTTCCGAGGACACCGCGGAACAACCTACATGATCTCTGCGATCCGGCTACTGCAAGAGAAGTGTCAGGAAACGGTTACCAACCTCTATAGTAATTTCGTGGACCTGACGAAAGTCTTGGACGCAGTTAGTCGTGATGGGCTCCTGAAAATCCCGCAGGAAATTAGATGTCCCGAGCAACTTACGCACATGGTGCGTCAGATCCATAACCGGGATGATGGCGTGCGTCGCGGAAAATGGAGCCGTCTTTGAAGCATTTGCAGTATCTGTCCCCACACTCGGTTTGATACTTCTTTTCGATGGGCGTTCATCGTGATGAGGCCCTAAGATCAGCATCGCCTACCGGATTGGACATCAGCTTCTTAATACCCGACGAGTGCAAGAGTCTACGCGGACCTAACAACCACATCAGCTACTCTTCGTTGACGAATGCGCAATCAATGTCACAACCTCTCATCTGCGACAGTCTCTGACGATGGGTTCGAATGAGAATCCGAAAATTCAGACCAATAATTTTCTCGTTCCAGTGATCGCATGCTCATCTTCTGTACTGCTTCCTGGAACTCGTCTGTTCGCCCTTATCAGCAATGTCGCATCCGGTGCAGCCATTCAAAGAAGCATAGACCTCTTCGCCTCCGGATACGCAAGCTTCAAGCTGACCATCAGCATAAACAAACGGTACTCATGCATCAGCCATCACCCAACACTGAATACAACGCCACTCAAATCACTGTCAACTGCACCCAAGTCAAAAATTTAGGACAATGTTATTGCCTACAAAGACAAGGGAGACTGGGAGGGCCACCCCTGGCTTATTAGCCGTCGACAGCCGGTCATACCCAACCCCCAGGTGTGGAATGCCTGAAGCTCGAACTCGCGACCTGTTATTTAGAATTTCAACGCTTCTAACCACTGAGCCAGGGGTATGACTGGCTGACGACGGCTAATAAACCAGAAATGGCCACTCCAGTCTTCCCTGTCTTTGTCGGTAATGACATATCATGCGCCGCCATGCGGCTGCTGGTTGGGCTCGAGAGAGAGAGAGCCCGTAAGGCACAACGGAACGAGTGAGTTCCGAAAGGACGATCGGTGAGCACCCCTCTATCACCGTGGATGACTTAGCCCATCTATGTAGTACACTCCTAAGCAGCATCAAAACCGACTCCAAAGTGGTCCATCATATCTCCAAAACCAGCTGGACCTTTGGCCGGTTGCAGGCCATCTTCTGGAACCGTCATCGACTTCGGCACAACGGGAAGCTCAAAATATACGGGGCGCTAGTCCTGACAACGCTACTATACGGGCGGAGACCTGAACCGTCAAGGCCAATCAATCCAGAAAACTCAACCAATTACGCCTCGCCGAGAGAGGCGCATCTGTGGTCCAGTGTTTCTGGTCGCCAGATATCGCCGCATGGACAGCGTGAACACGACAGACACGAACAGGGAAAATGACTCATCCGCAGCCGGTATTGGCTATCCACGCGCGATGCACAAAGTGGGACGAACGATCTGGTCGTTTTAGAAAGCACACTGTTCACAGAACGCTCCTGTCTCCGAAAATAGGCAATCGAACTCGTTGCTTAACGCGCCGGACTGCAAACACACTCCTCTCCCTAAAACATGCCGTTCATCTAACCGCTTGCATCTCGCAACTGAATGGTTGGAAAACAGTTGCCCTAACCCCTAACCCCAACCCCGACAGTATTATGTCCCTGAAGAAGGAGACACGATCGCTGGGAGAAGAGCTTTATTAGCCTGACGTTTCGGAGTCCTGCACGAATCCATCATCAGAGACAACAGTAGATATGGGTGATCCACGCTCAAGGGGCTCCATTAAGGCGGTAGCATGGCGACTGCATCCTATAAATACTGCAGCCCCTTGTGCGTGAATTACCCATATCTACTGTTGTCTCTGATGATGGATTCGAGCAGGAATCCGAAACGTCAGGTTAATAAAGCTCTTGTCCCAGCGATCGTGTCTCCTTATTCAAGACTACTTCCTGGGACTAGTCTTTTCGCTTCTATTAGCAGTATTTTGTCCATCAGGTGGGAATCCATAACCACATCTTACCCCGCGTCTATCTCGTATCTGCATTTTGCCAGCCGTTCTGTGGGTGAATACCTTGATCACCGCGGAGGGGGTGGGGGGGGGAATAAATGTTGCTTTGGGAAGCAGCTAGTACTATGGCTATTGGGAAATCTCGGTGATTTAACCCGCGTCGGGCACCTGCAGCCTCTCAAGAAAGCAGGACTGAAGGAGAGAAAAGCACAAGCACAGTCCTTGTGCTTTTATTCTCTGAAAGCGCAAAAGTCAGCCACTTACGCGTGCATGATCGAAGTGGGGAGCGTAGTGGCCCCCGAGACCGTAATTGGCGACCTGCAACTCCTCGCTCTCTTCCATACTCAGTCCAGTTGCAAATTCGATCCTCTTATTAATGGACTTGATTATGGGTGTGAGGTCGTTGGGGAGCCATACGCTGAAAAGATGTAACAGTTTTGTGGTTTGGAGTGCAGGAAGTAATTTGACTAAATGGCAGGCAAAACTTGCTTTACACTCGAGTAGATGGGACCGAAAACAGAACGGTTTTATTAAACGGCCGTCAGTTAGTCATCTAAACAACAATATACTCGGAAGAACCGCCTACAACGATCGCTTATAAAGTGTGTCTTGCTCTTTTTTACCTCGTTTTTTATGATACAGGGATTTAAAAATAGTGTTGGGGCTGTGCCCTACTCTGGGCTGGGTGTAGGTCTAGTCAGTGAAGCCTCATTTCTCCTGATTTTTTTTGCGGCAAAATAAACTCTTGCCAAGCTTTTGAAGTACGTGTTGTGATATGTTTACATGGAGTGTCGTGGTTAGGTGCTTGCTGAAGGGAAGAATAAAGGTCAAGGTTAGGTCTGCCTTTCATACAAGGAAGAATTAAGGCGCTCCCTTGGCAATAAAGATCAGGACTAGGGTTTGGGCTTTTCAGAGCCTGTTACAAGACGATTCTAGCCGGAGTAATTAATCGAATCAATAATGAATTGGTATGCAGTCTAGGCAACGTGGGGTTCGACATCTTTCTCCCTCGAGGTTACTAAATAAGAGGCGACATCACGGCCACCGGGTCTGTGTAGATTGCAGTCGATGACAGCAGCGACTGAACTGAAAATAGCCATTTTAGTCCAGCTTTTGAAATTGCCGAACGGTTAACTCCTCTCAGATTTGCGAATATGACTTTTATGTCAAGAAATTCATAACCATCTGAAAGGCCGAAGGACATAACAGGCTTACAGGTCTTCTTTTTACTTTTAAGGATACCAGGCCGAAGAGCTGGTCATCGAGGGTCAGAAGTTGAGGGTGGCCGATCCAAATCCCGATGGTCAACCGACCCAGCGTTACTTTATATTAATTGCATTTTTTATACTGTCTAAGTTTTGTGTGTTTGCATATTCTATCGAGTTTGTTGCCATTTCCAGGATGGACAAGCTGCTGAAGAGAAATCACATGCTGACCACTTAAGTAGCATGCAATTTTCCCATTGATTTTCAATGCCCCGAAATGTCCAATTATACTTCATGGAAAACATGCATAAAATAATCATTTTTTTTTCACTCGTTCGGTAGCAAATCACGTCTTCTTCCAATTTTATACTCGAGGGAAGAGTATGATTCGATTTTAAAAAAACTCTTCCAATTTCCAACTAATTCTAAACCAGACCTGCTGTTATACTTGCACTCGGGGTTTCTAAACTACAAGTCGTATATTTTCCGTGTACGGAAAATCAGGCATTTCTCTACGGTGTTAAGAGGAGACCACATGGAGGTCATAAAAGTTAGCAGTGACTCTAAGTCATATTGTTAACTTTACAAGCCACATTGGTAAATGCAGATACATGACGTTTTATGAACGGCAATTTCACGGTATTAAAAAATCTCACAATTAGAAACTTTTTTGAAACCGAATTATACTCCTCCTTCGAGTATAAAATTGAAAAAAAGACGTAATTTTCTACCAAATGAACAAATGAACGAATATTTTAAGTATTATTCACGGAATATAACTTAACTTTTAAGGGCATCGAAAATCAATGAGAAAATTGCATGCTACCTAAGTAGTCATTTTTTGCAGAATATAGATCATGCATGCAGTCGGAAATAAGTTCTTTCGAAAGGAGGCACCCTGAGGTAACTGAAACATTATAGAATTATGCTGGACTATGATTATTCTTACAACCCTACTTAATTGATCTTTTCGAAACAGAAACGCACTTCGAAATTTCGGCCGACATTTCATGAGTTAGCCTTCCCACTGTATATTCCATGCCTACGCCTTCGTATAACCCAACCCCTGGCTTGGTTACTCCTGAGGCTCGAGCCCCGGTTATAAAGTTCAACACTCTAACCAATGATTCATGAATTCGTCTCGTAGATTGTGATCGGGTGCATAAACTATGCTGGAAGGACCTTCACCGATTGGCTTACTGGATATACCTGTTTCGGCGTGCATGGGAGCTCGATCAAGTTAATACTGTCGATCGCGGGCGACAAGATAAGGAGCTCATTGATTTGTAACGGGCAGCCATCATGACCGGTCTGGCGTCATTGTTCAAGACCTCGCTGCCTCCAGATAATCCACCCTTTTGCAGTGAGCCGTTCCAGACACGCTGACCTGAAGCCACACAGCCGACAGCTCGGGCATACCTGCGTCCGAACAGCCGCCGCAGCTGCCCATGCGGCCACTTGAACGCACTCCACCCCCTGCAACCGCAACCTGAGCCACTGGGATACCGCCCCTCGGCAAATGCAACACACACACTGACTGGACACCGCTTGAGCTTGGCCCACGAGCCTACAAAAGCGGCCGCCACCACTATCTCAAGGGCTCTCAGGCATGACTGAACACAGTCAACACCAGCCCTGGCTTCGCCAGTGGCCACTACCGCCTGAGAGGACAACTCCGGGTGCTGTGCACAATAAAACCCTCATTCTGGTGTCTTCCGTCTTCTCCTTCCAACATTGGATTTGCCCTATTTATGGTAGCGCTAAGACTACACCCATTCTCACGGCTGTGCCGCAACAGGCTCATTGGTTAGGATGTTGGATTTATGAACGCTTAATAACCAGAAGAACGTTGGTTCGAACCTCATGTGGCCCCAAACCTGGGGTTGGATAAGGCTGGCTGACGACGGCTAACAAGCCAGAAAGGACCACCCAAATCCTCCTTGACTTTGTCGGTAATTTCTTTCTGCATACATTACCAGTCGGCGTGCAACAGCCTGTGAGGGCCTTAGGTTGAGCCTTAAGGCAAAAACGGGGTGAGTATGTCCCGTAGTCTGATTGATGATCGCCCCCTTACCCTATTTCGCTTTTTGTATTAAAGAGTATGCCTACGTAGAAATATGGCCTATGGGCATTTTGTAAATTGACGCATTTGCCCCCCCCCCACCAGAGCTGCTAGAAACTAAAATGATCAACAGTGAGACCTATAGTTCATATACCAGAAAGCGTATGTAAAACGCTCAGAGGGCAACACATATACCGTAACTGCTGAAGATACGGCAGACAGCTGAAAAAAGTGAGCGAAACACGTGTTTGGGCTTTAAGTCAGTAGGCGTGTTGGGGCAGGGCAAATCAATCAGTATTAGCATATTGCTGACTGCCTGCCTGTTGGTAGCCGAACGAAGTCGAGACATTCCAGCTCAAGCGTCCATATCAACGTTCGAACCAAACCTGAAAAGCTTTTTCCTGAGGAATTTACTCCAAGCATGCAAATTTCTCATCGATGACATCAAAAATCCTAATACGGCACGAAGTATCCAGGTAGATGCGTTTTTGGTCTACCTTATTTGTAGATAGCAAGACATTGCCGAAGTGATCAATTCTGAGAATATTTTTAGAACAAACTGCAGACTGCACAGCGTGCATCCCAATCAGGACGACTGCTTCTTACTTCGCACGGTGTTGGTGAATGTGTCCGGTTCAACGTCTTTCCAGCAATTGAAATCTGTCAACGGCGTTACGCACGCCACTTTCCGTAGCTCAAGCGTCCATATCGACGTTCGGAACAAACCTGAAAAGCTTTTCCTAAGGAATTTACTCCAAGCTTGCAAATTTCTCATCGATGACATCAAAAATCCTAATACGGCACGAAGTATCCAGGTAGATGCGTTTTTGGTCTACCTCATTTGTAGGTAACAAGACATTGCTGAAGTGATCAACTCTGAGAGTATTTTTTAAAACAAACTGCAGGCTTCCAGGTCTAGAGTCGCCAAAAACGCACAGGAATCCCCTGGGCTTGCACAACTGTGGCGACCGCTTTGCAGAAAGATGGTCTCAGACCGCCCGGTGAACTCTCGCAGTTACGCCCGCCAGCTGTGGAATCACGGCAATATGCTGTTTGTCCTGGTGCACGCCGTGAAATTTTATTGCCTAAACTGCTAGCCTCACTTAGATGACCCCAATTTACCTTTAATGGTCTCCGGGAGTATGGCCCCCGTAGTGTAGATGGCCTTGGGCTGGAGCTAGTGTGAAGCATGTTATGGTAAGATGTTATGTAGCCGCACTTGATGGACACGATACTGTTGACCTAGTTAATTATTTTGAGTTGGTGTGATCACGTCGACATGGTGTTGCTGTGCGTTGCAGTGTGTGTGTTCTGTTGGCGGCCTTGTTTATTTGTTGCCGTGTCTACGTTTTCGGCCCTATGCCGGTGGCCCTTCTTGACTTTCGGCCTGTCGTAACCTCCTAACTTTCGCATTGGATGTTTCAAGGTCAAATTTCAGGGCTGCGGCTATGGGTTAGGGCATAGGGGTTATGGCTAGGGGTCAGAGCTAGGGGTTGGGGTTAGAGGTTAGAGTTAGGATTTATGGTTAGGGGTTAGGACAACTATTTCTCAACCACTCAAAGTACCACAGCGTATTTCCAAATAGCTTTTCTTCTGCATACAGCCACTTGACCTCGTCGCCTGTGCGTTCCCAAGCCCCACCTGTAAAATCCCCCTTACCACCGGTTCCGTATTACAGGTGGCTGGGGTTTGTTTAGCTCAGGTGCGACTACGTGATCACATCTGACCCATGCTAGGTTTAGGACTAAGATTAGAGTTAGGATACGGCAAGGTCACCTGCAGCGCGAGTGGAGTCCTTGTCCCTGCAACCTAACCCTAACTTTGACGTTGAGATTTGACTGCTGGAAACGTGGGCTCTCTAGCCAATATTCTCATTTGATTCTGCCTCGGTAGACAACTGGGGACCGTTTTAACAAGTAGAGAAAATTTTCTGACTTATATGTTAATAAAGGATGTTGGATAACCTTGTGAGTGCTACTTACTTTTTAGTAATGCGGTACGGAGCCGTCTCCAACTTGCCGGAAACTGGATTCCTCACAGTCGCCCGACGGAGCTACGGTGTCATGAAGAAGTAAAAAATGCCTTTAGATATAAGACTTTTCGAAACCTTAGGAGTGTTTAAAATTATATTGGAGGTAGAGAGAAGTTGACAAACGTTGCTTTAAAGGATTTCCACCTACTATATGCTCTTCTTGAAGAAGTACACAACAAAATTTGTCGCGTTCATTGAAGACTGGAAGGTTTTTTTGGGAGCAAAAACTACACAGGATTCAGGGTTGTACAACTTTCTGTGGTCTTTAAGCTGCTCAATTAAGTCAATTTGTCGGTGGTTTCGTGCAATACTCTGCCCTCACTTGTCAATAACAGAAGAAAGATATAACCACAGTAGGTGGGCTAACTCATGAAATGTCAACCGAAATTTCGAAATGCGTTCCCGTTTCGAAAAGATTAATGAAGAAAGGTTGTAAAACTAGTCAGCCTGCGAAACAATTCTACAATAATAATTTTTTATTAAAAACCCGTCGGGGTCTCATCAAATACTTCAGTTACGTCAGGAGGCCGGCTTTCGAACGAACTTCCCTCCCGCTGCATGCAAAAGCTGCACTCTGTGAAAAACGACTGCATACGTAGCATGCATTTTTTTCATTGATTTTCAATGCCCCTAAAAGTCCAATTATATTTCACTGAAAACATGTATGAAAATATTCATCCCTTTGCTTTTTCGGTAGAAAATCACTTCTTCTTCCAATTTTATACTCGAAGGAAGGATATCATTCGTTTTTTTTAAGACTGTTCAAATTCCCGAATAGTTTTGAACCCCGCCCTGCCGTTACACTTAAATTCAGGGTTAAAAAACTACGAACCATATATTTTCTGCGTACGGAAAACCATACATTTCTCTACGGTATTAAGAGGACACCATATGGGGTTCATAAAAGCTAGCGGTGGATATGAGCCACATTGTTAATTTTACAAGGCGCATTGGCAGATGCAGGGACACGAGGATTTATGAACGGCCATTTCACGGTATTTAAAAGTCCCACAGTTAGAAACTTTTTTAAAACCGAATTGCATCCATCATTCGAATACAGAATTAGAAGAAAACGTAATTTTCTACCGAATTGGCAAAAGAATGAATATTTTATGCATGTTTTCCATGAACTATAATTGGACTTTTAGGGGCATTGAAAATTAATTATAAAAATTCATGCTATTTAAGTAGGCGTTTTTTACAGAGTGTCGTTTCTTAATGCGGCCGGAGGGAAGTTCATTCGAAAGCCGGCATCCTGCGGTAATTGAAATATAATAGAGTTATGTTGCAGGCTGACTAATTTTACAACCCTACTTAGTTAATCTTCTCGAAACCAAAACGCATTGCGGAATTTCGGTTGACATTTCATGAGTTAGACCACCTACTGTATATTCGCCGTTCTTTTGTCTGCAAAGAATGGGAACTGGAGTGAAGTGGCCGTGAAGGACCCTAGTGCCCGTCACGTTTTTGTCGCCTCAAGGCCGCCGGCGCTTGATGGTTTGCGAAAGCGCCAGTAAATGCAGCACATTGTGTCCCTTTTCAAACACACTGGTAGGGAACTAGTTGAATATGGAAAAGTTCAGTCAGTGGCTAATCTCATTAAATGTCAGCCGAAATTTTGAAATGAATTTTAGCTTAGGAAGGATTATTCAAGTGATGTTGTAATAATAATCATCGTCTAGGCTAATCGAAGTATATTTCAGTCACGCCACAATGCCGGCTTCTCAATGGAATTCTTCTCGGCAGCCAGCAAAAAATCGCACTTGGTAAAAAGTGGCCACATGGGTACTATGAATTTTTTCTATCGACTTTTGATACTTTCAAAAATTCAATTTTATCCTATGGAAAACATGCATGAAATATGCTTTTCGTATTACAGGTTTTATTCAAAGTTCATACTCGAGGGAAGGACATATTTCGGCTCGAGAAGCTCGTCTTTATGGGACTTTTTATGACCTTGAAATATCCATTCAGGTGGTATCGTATCTGTGCGTGAAGAGGATGGGCTATGCAGTCCAACTGAGAAAACGGACCACAGGGACTCCAGCGATATTTAAAGGATGCTTATACTACTTTTATTAGACGGCAAGATGGGAGTAGTAATTGATGGAATCTGCTGAAGGCTATAAGAAAACTCGCATTTTGGCTGCGTGTTTATTTTACTACCTCAGCCAGGTGTCGGAAGAGATCGCACAATTTAAGGAATGCGAATTAAAGTGGCATAAACGGGCAGAAAAACAGGCAATACAATGTTATCGGGTTAAAGAAGGTCGGATGGGTTAAGATGGTATGCGGCAGGCAAAATTAACCCCAACTTTAACTCTAACCCCCAACGTTCACCCTCCCCTTAACCTCAATCTTTAATCTGAACCCAGCCTCAAGGTTAAATACAATCATTTTCCTAGAATTGGCCACAACGGTAACCATAATATGATACGTTTACGTAAACGAAACGAGTCGGCGTGCTAAAGTAATAGAAACTAGAGGCCGCATATTCATTCGTCGCCTTGTGGGCTTAGTAATGATTCTTATGAAATATACAACAAAGTCAAAATATATGCAAAACTTCAAGAGTCGTTTTTTGCCAAGTACGGTTTTCGCAGGCTGCTGAGAAAAAGCGCATTCAAAAATCGACATCTTGGCGCGACAAAAGTGTCTTGGCATTATGCCGCACGATGATCAGCCTTGCAACCCCATTTAAGTAACATTTTTTTAGTCTAAAATGCATTTTTAGGATTTCGGTTGACATTTTGTGAGACGGGTCACTGATTGCGAACCGTGAGGGAACACGCAAGACTACTGCTCATTGCGGTCCGTTATCCTAAAGGCCATCAACCTCATGTCCTCTAAGTTGCCTTGACGAGGTCGAAAACCTACAATACTGATAAAGAATTGAACAGAGTAAATTTCATTTCACTCAAGAGGGCGACACCGAAAATGCCGAAGGGTTGCTCAACGTAGGTCAGCCATCACTGCGCCGCAGTTTTACTGCCTCAGGCGTTGTCGGCAACATGTTTTCAGACTAGTTGAACGATCATCGAATGCGTTAGGACCGACAGTCATTGCCGGGCATTACCGGTGTTAAATAAACGTTAAAGGCGGTCTCTCATTGACGAACAATCAGCCCCCCGTACGCAACATGCGTTCAGGGTGTACAAGACAGTCAGAAGATAGCGATGCGGAGAAGAGGGCAAATGCACTCTTTTCTAGATTCACACCTCGGTATCATTTGCATGATTCAGATTGAGATATCCGATGCAGATATTGACATCACAGACGGAGGTAAAATTACATTTTTGGGGAGCAAAGAACTCTTTAACCACCGGTCCTAGGACGAGCACACCCTCCAACAATTTTTGCTCTTAAGACTCCTCATTAAAATTTAAAGAATGCTCTTATACGAGGCGTCAACTAACAAACACAACTCACGCCGAATTCCTTCGCCTGTAGAACCACGGTTTAGGTAACAACTTCACCAGGTTGAATTCGTCAGGCGAAAGGCCTCCCTTTTTGCAGGACTCTCTCATCAAACAAAGTCTCCGCTCGCAAATTCCCTACCGAAGACATCTACTTATACACCTTCAGTTGAAGAAGTGTAAAGTAATTTCTTTCAAGAAAATGGTATCGATTTTCAATTAAAATTTTTTGCACTAGACAAATCTATTGAGTGGTTCGCCAACACTTATTGCACATTCCTCCTCAGACGTATTTAGAGGCGAAATCTAGCGCGGTGAAACGGGGTGCGCCTTTAAGATGATGTGTCGAGGCCATTATGAGTCAAGCCCACTCTCCCCAAGGCAATGAAAGCTTCAACTGACCGTTGCCTGCCACTTTTTCTTGAAGACCTCCAGGTTTCTCCCTCGGGGTCATTAAAGTAGAGTTCCTGTACACAGTCGAAAGCGAGGTCGCTATGGCAATAAACTCCGAACACGCATCGTCATTCTTCTTTTATGTTCTGCTGGGGTGAGGGATACTGGTGACGCAAGCCGATCTAAATTTTTGTTTCCTCTGATAGTCTTCCTAGTCGCTGGCATTTCGACGGGATTGAAACAGTGTTTCGCGCTCACAGTTCGCATGGGAAATCCCACAAGCCGACTCCAATTAGCGCACTTTCCCAGGACCAGGTAAATTTGTGATGCCAGTTGGACTTCCAAGTCTTCAGCCATTTTACGAACCTTGGCGCGGATAATTTTCTTAATTATTTGTTAGTCAGAAGGACTTGAGACCGGAAAAGTCTTGCGCCACTAGCTTTCCACGTTTCAGACACTGTTTTCTATGGTGGGAGGACGCCCACCGACCAAGTCACGGGACATACTCGTCCCCTTGTGACTTGGGGCTCAATTAGGAACCCTGACAGACATTCGTACAGCGACTAGCAGTATATACAGCTAAGGGGCTATCGAGAGACGGGAATAGCCATTTCTGGCTGTAGATTGCACTATTATCCTATCGTCGGACGCAAAGAAAAGCATTGTACGTATGCATTGAAAGAAGCATCCCAAAAATTTGATTTTAAATGTGTACAGTGCGTGACCTATCTCATGAAATGTTGGCTAAAATTCTGAAATGCGTTTTCGATTAGGAAGGATTACTTGGTCGCGGTTGTGACACGGATTATCTTAAGGCATACTCTTATAACATTTCGGACTTGGCATGATGTCGGCTTTAAAATGCACTTCTTTTCAATCTACTGTAGAAAGCGTGCTCGGTAAAAAATGACTACATAAGTAGCATGCATTTTTCCCATTGATTTTCGATGGTCTTGGAAATGCAAATATATTTTATAGAAACCACAAACAAAAATATGCTTTCTTCTAATCAATCAATAGAAAATCACGCCTTCTTTATATTTTATACTTACAGAAGGGGTATAATTAGGTTTTAAAAAAGTTTCTAATTATGAGACTTTTTAAGACCGCGATATGTCCATTCACATAGCATCGTACCTGGCCGTTTACCACTGCTCCTCATGAAATGTACAACATGGTCCGCATCCATTGCAAAATTTTATGGACCCCGTATAATATCTCTTTAGTGACATAGAAAAATATGGTATTTTCTTTACGCGGAACGCCTGCACCTTGTAGAGTGTAATCACTAAGCGCTAATACAACGAATGATCAGGCTCCAAATTTTTCGGCAATTAGAAAACTTTTTTATAACCTAATTATACTCCTTCCTTAAGTATAAAATATAAAGAAGGCGTGATTCTATATTGATTGACTAAAAGAAAGCATATTTTTGTTTGTGGTTTCTATAAAATATATTTGCATTTCCAAGACCATCGAAAATCAATGGGAAAAATGCATGCTACTTATGTAGTCATTTTTTACCGAGCACGCTTTCTACAGGGGATTGAAAAGAAGTGCATTTTAAAGCCGACATCATGCCGAGTCCGAAATGTTATAAGAGTATGCCTTATGATAATCAGTATCACATCCGCGACCAAGTCATCCTTCCTAATCGAAAACGCATTACAGAATTTCAGCCAACATTTCATGAGATAGGTCACGCACTGTATATATGCAAATAATATATGTGTATATATACGGTGAGTGACCGATCTCATCAAATGTTGGCTGTTATTCTGAAATGTGTTTTCGATTAAGAAGGGTTACTTCTGTGGGGTTCTAACATTCCCATTGGGACTTGGGGCTCAATTAGGAACCCTGGCAGGCAGTCGTGCAGCGACTAGTAGTATAAACAGCTAAGGGGGGGGGGCTATCGAGAGACGGGAAGAGATATTTCTGGCTGTGAAATTATCGAGAATTACATAACTTTCCCGTAAACACCCTCCCGTAAAGATTCCACCGAAGTGCCCTTGCTGCCGAAAGGAACTTCAAGCAACTAAAGAGGCAGTGGCTAGATGTTTATGTTTTATTGTCAACGCTTAAGTGTCTTTCAACTTATCGACCGTATTTCTGTCATGATTTTCACATAACCTCAATCCTCATTTAATGGATCTGTAGGAGAGTCCTACGGAGGGGCTGCACGGGATTCAAGTTGCTTCCAATGCGGACCATATCGGCTTCCAGAAAAGATGAGAGCAGGCTCATCTGAAGGCAGAAACACACCGGAGCGGTGAGCACCTACCGACATTCTTGTCCCTCACTGGCGGTCGCCTGACTGTGTATTACTAGTCGGTGCACGACTGTCCCAAGACGCGACAGGATGCGAATGCCCTGTAGCCCGATCGGTGAGCGCCTTTCCTACAATCTCAACCGACAGTACAAGGGACCAGTTGGATACGGCTGGACGACAACGTCAGCTAATCCTGAAATGACCCTCCGAGAATTCCTTGTTTTTGTAGACAACACATTTTAATTACTAATTACTGATAAATATATCGCCGTCTGCTGGCACTTTAAGTCAGAAATCCAATGCAAAACGAAACATTGTTTATAGGGTCTTGGGGTTTACTTTCAAAACCTCCAGTTAAGCCGCTGTTTGTTATGATTTATTGTTTATATCTATATGAGAAGGATAGGCGACCTCGGAGCCATAGTTTTACTGCCCTGACGTTTCAAAAGCAAACAGACTTCCATCGCCGAAGTTGCGTGTGGTATCGCGCCTCACAGTATGTATAGGTGGGTGACAGTCATGTTAGGACGGATTTTTTGCATAGGAAGTCAGGGCGGCAGAGAGAACGGGAGGGGAATCGCCTTTTCCCTTCGTTTATCTCCAGGGACGCGCATACTCGCTTCTATTAGATATAAATATATATTCATATGTTATCGGCATATATATATTTCAAATTAAATTTTTGGGATGCCGTTTTTCATTGCATACATACGAAATTAGAGCACAGTGTTTTGCCTTTCGTCCGACGATGGGATAATAGTGTAATCTACAAACGTCGGATGTAAGAGCAGTTGTCTTTGCCACACTGATGCAACAAGATTCTGCCGAAATTTGCAATGTATTTCACACCTGTTACCATAAATGTTAACCAACCACAGAATCCTTTGTTAGACTTGGTTTAAACTTAACTGTTTTTTGTATACTGTCCACTCGTCTGACGACGAGCTAGGGGTAAAAATGTCGAAAATTCAGGCAATAAGACTATCTCATTCTTTAAGGACGTCCATAACCCTTCCTGGTTAATGGCAACGGTAGGATGGAGGGTCCCGCTGGACTGTCGGTGGACTGTGGATCGTGTCATATGGTACTTTACCCATTTGAAGACCGTTGCAGATGGTACATTTCCAACAACAATTACTTCCCATGACCTCCAACCATTACTCAAATTCTATTATTCTTTGAAATTTGGTATTTGTCTATATTTCTCTTAACGCGCTCGCTTCCGTTGCCATAGAAGAGCGTATGCTAAGACTTTCAGCAGAAATCCTGCGTCTTCTTGTCAGCTTACTGTTTTGCGCGTTGCCCCGCCCGTAAAAACCTCATTACCACCATTCCCGTATGACACGATTCCCAGTCCACCGAGGGCCCAAGGGGATCCTTCACCCTATCGTTGCCTGCACAATTAGTGGTCGTTATGCGACTGCCTGCAAGGGCTCTATTTTTAGCCTCAAGTTGTAACGAAACGAGCGTGTCCCGTAATCTAATCGCTAAACGCCCTTTCCGTGATTTAAAAACTTGCTTCCCCCTTTAACGCTTTTTTTTAAAAAACGTATCGAACAATTGCATCCAGCCTTTGAAGTTTGTCATCGTCTGAATGCCAGACTGTGCACTTCAGTTTACAGCCGTGGTGGTTAAAGGCAACTTTTTAGCTGATTGAAAATCTGTCAACAAAGTTGACTCACGCGGGGTCGAGCAATCTCCTGGATGTGTTCAATCTCCTTTTCGGTGACAAAATCGTGCCAGAGGACGATCGGCGGCTCAACTTGCATAATCTCCTCCTTCAGTGGAGCCACCAGGAAGAAAGGGTGAGGAACGGTGAGATGGCAGATCAGCCGCGGATCTCGAACAGCGGAAGTGTTCACAGTGCGACAAAGCCGCTCGTAGACAGCCACCTCGGAGTCCTCTTGAGTCGTTCCTAGGGGCAGCCACATTTTCCGTCAGTGAAACAGAAGATCTCATTAAGTTTATTTCGTAAGTGGGCAGTCGTCATGTGGACTACAGGATCCATGAATGGAAACTACTTACTGACAGAGGCAAGGTAGAGGGTTAAATAACCACTGTTAGATTATATGCAGTTGGCAGCCACCGATACCCCAACTCACTTGCCTTCTTCGGATGGACCCCTGGGGTATCAATCGGGGTTGTCCCTATGCAACCGTCTACGAGGACTCCAGGGCAAAAAGGAACACCAATGTTCCGTCTTCCGTCCGCAGTAGATAGCTGACCGCCACTTCTACGTGACTATTAGTGCTGCCGATCGCAGCCAAAACCCCGGCCAAGTTTGTTCTTACGAGGGAAGACACCGGTCGCAGCGGTTTTGGCCAATAACTGCTGACCCAGTCAGCGGAGGGAACAAACTTCCCTGGAATGGACAGGTACACCAAGACAAACCTGAATCCCTCGTCTTCGGCCTGCCGACGCTACAGGCTAAATCAGTGAACAGAATGTCTGCCTGATTTTGTATATTTCTGAGTCCAGTCAGCGGAACGAGAGTTCGGGGTCCATCTGGTAAACTGTTTACCTTACTGCTCACTGTCTAAAGAGTCCGACCTTGAGATTCCGATCTGTCTGGTTTCGAGTGGATGTGTGACGGGGTGACAACGGTAATAATTCTCGTTTTGCTGACAGGTTGTTGAATAGAGTTTCGATTTTTACTGAGCTAATGCGGTGCAGAGGGTAAGGGCTTACTTAATTATGTCACATTTTGTTTCTTCACTCTTAAAAACATCTTATGTCCGCTTTAACCGAAACTAATTTTGGTTAGGTCGCCGTTGGTAGCCAGGAATGGGGAGGCGGACAGCAAGGCCCCTGTCGAACGGGAATAGTGGGAAAGGGGATCATGTAGTTGGGGTAAATGAAAGGGCTGGTAAAGGAATGCTGGAGTTTCTGAGTAAAAGTAAAGTTACCAGGGAAAGTGCTGGGAAGTTTTAAGTAGGTGCAATAATGGCAGAAAATGAAACCCTACGCTTAACCCTAAAATACAACTCTGACCAGCAACCGTAAAGCCTAACCCTAAGCCTCAAATCCGAAACGTAACCAAAATCCTAAAACCCAAAGCTAATCCAAAACCTAGCCATAATCCTAACCCTAACCTTGATTCTAACCTTAACCTTGACCTTAAACCTAACCTTAACCCTAATCCTAACCTTAACCCTAACGTTAACCTTATAGCTAACCCTAACCTTGAGCATAACCCTAACCTCAACCCTAACGTTAACCTAATACCTAAACCTAACCTTAAGCTTGACCCTAGCCTTAACTTTAACCGTAACCCTAACAGGAACCATAACGGGAACATAAACCCTAACCCTAACAATGAAACCTGACCCAAAACGCGAACCCTTATCCTAAAACTTAACTTAAGCCTAACCCTAACTCTCACTAAACCTAACAGCCTAACCGACACGGGCGACCTACCTGACTCAGTCAGAGCAAACCTACAGATACCAACTTCCCTAGACAAGGTATGCCTACCTACTGATAACAAGTACGTGTGTCGACAGTATCAGCATAAAATACCTGGCTACCAACTGCGATCTTACCTAAATTTTCTACAGCGCATCGTCAGATCGACACTAAAATTGTGTACTAAGGCTTACCTGCGTTTCGCGCGTTCATAAGACGGTACCAGAAGATTGCCGTGTGAGCCCTTTACATGGTTAAATGCCGAAGTGTTTCGACAGGAAACCTAGATGGCACGAAACAAATGGATAGTTCCATGCGCCTGAGTGGTCCTCTACCTTGCCCCATGACCATGGAACTGGTCAGAAGAATCAGTGGGTGGCGCAGGGCGAACACGAATGTTTTGGCCAACCAGTTTGCATATTTGACACAAGGGAAGACGGTGAAGTCTGGTGTGACCTGGTCTTTATTCAGGGTACGCTGAGGGATACTTGACACACTTATCATGCTCACGCGGAAAGCCAAGATCTGGGCGACTTCGGATAGGCGTAAACACAACGGCTGGGTGGGTACTCTCTCCCGTCTATGGCCGTCACGGATATGTGGCTGTACCCCAATAAAGGCAGATCGGATTCCACTAATTTGGGTATCATATCGATTAAGGGTGTTGTGAGGCCGCGTTAGGAGGAAACCTTTACAACTACACGCCATCTGGCAAACTTTCGAGCAAAGTCGAACCAACGCCCAGCATCCTTCTGAATCGCTGACGTTTTTGTTCTAATAAGTACATTCTAGGAGACAATTCGGCGGCCTCTCCGTCTGAGACCAGGAAGTTTCTGTTTTGTACTACTGTTAGGCAACCCTTAGTGAGGCTCAGTTTCTTTTCCTGTTAATCACCAAATGTTCCCAGAAAGTCAGTAGTAGTTGTCGTTAAAGATGAATGAACAAGAAAACTAACTGCAAAATACTCAGATGTTACATCCCATAGGATACCCTATTTAAGCCTGAAATGGGACTGGGCGAGTGGTGATTTCAATTTTTTTACATTCTGATGATATGCGTTACTTAGGGGTACTTGAGTAGGTTCTCACATGCGCACAACCTGACATCCTCAAGTCTGAACCTAATTATCCGACTAAATCTTATTTCTGGAAAGGCTGCCTATACGAAAAAAACATGTACAGATCAGTCTGAAGTACCAACTCAGGGTATGCGGCAGCTATCCGAACTTTGTGGGCTAAGAAAGCTCTGTGTGAAGAGTTGCTTTGCAAAAACAGAAACGAAAGGAAACTAGTTCACAACTATCACCATTTCCTTCTAACTAAAAAAACTATATCTTCCTGATCCATCAGTGGGAAAATTTCGGCCAGATTTCACATCTTGCGGACAGGATGCTTTATTATACACTGCCTGACCTCTCTATTCGTCACTGATGCCTTATGCAATCAGTTTCGTTGCTGCCTACTTTCGCGAAAAGAAGTAGTAATATTCATCATGCAGTCTTGGAGCACTCTGCAGGTAAATGATCTTGCCCACCGCTAAGGACTGCCATAAAATCTACGCTTTAATGAATCTGAACGGACATGAAACTTAAGGCCCTGAGATGCTTGCTAGCTGAAATCAAGAAAAGTTTGGGTCGTTCCAGAGTACACGCAGACAAACGTTCTAAGAAATATCTAAGTAGAAAATGCTGATTGCCGCGACTTAAAGTCAAATTTCCGAAGATGTGGACGAATATATGCCTCATATGATGGCGTCTTAGCTAAAGCAAGCGCATACGAGGCCTGTGAGCATTCTTCAATGGGAGCCGAACCCGCTTCCCTGCGTTTGACACCTCAAAACCAGTTAATTTCAAGAGCGTATAATAATTGCAAGCCGGAGAGTTTGGAAGGTCGAATCTTATTTCGTAGCCGCATCTACAGTAAACAAGCCTCAGCCGTCTATCATACGGGACTGGTGGTAATAGGGGGTTTAACACTAACCCCCTAACCCTAACCTCTAAACCGCTAACCCTAACCCATAACAGGTGCGGCTAGGAAATAGGATCTTACCGCTTGGAAGTTATACGATACCGGCTGTATATTTGGTGGCAAAAGGTTTGGAGCTGATTGGCCAACCTATAGTTGGGTAACATATGGTTCGAGTGTAAATTTTTAAGGAGCCCTACCCTATCCTCGCAGGAAAAAGAGCAGCTACAAATCTTTAAATGGTGCGCATTATAAGTCGAAGTGCCAAGAAACTGTTAGTAAAACCCTATAGTCAGAGGGAATAGTACCTCAAGGAAGGTGATCCTCGTGGATAGGGTTAGGCGTGAGGGTTTAGCCGGTGTCTCCCTAGCTCAAATATTTTGAGTTGCAGGCTACGAACACAAACGGGGTGGCTGCAGCGAGACCACAGTTATGGCTGTCCCACTCATTTAGTAGTCTTTGATTAAAGGTCTATATAGGCGTTTCGGAAATGGATTCTCGAATTTCTACTTGCATCCGACGCATTGAACAAGAATACAGAATATGAATAGTCCTGTAAATCAAAAAATCACACTACTCGCTTTGGGACGTCTCTTTTGAATGCATCAAAACGAATCCCCCCATAGCACCCAACCGTGCAACAATGAAAACGGCATCTCGTTCTATATGCGCAGCATTATGTTTTCGATGATAAAGAATCAAATGAGAGGCCATGCGAAAACTCTGCAAATGTGCTTACGTTCCTCCGCGCTAGGCAAGGGTTCTCCTCCATGCAGACGAACGAGTTCGGATTCATAAAATCGCAAGCTTTTCAGAGCATTCTCATTGTTCGGATCTGGAATGAGGGGTGAGATGTGGCAGAAACCAAAACCTACTTTCTTTGAGTAGTCGCTGGGTGATTTCCATGGCTTCACGATAGTGACCTCGCTGAAAGTAAAAGACAGAAGCTTATTTTCAAATATTCAACTAGTCAGCTTTTTTCAAGGAAGTTCATCAGAATAGGTCGGGAAAACAAATAACACACATGGAATTGTTGCATAAAGATTATTTGGAGTTTTATTGATTGAATTCTATTGAATTCACAGGTCTCATCACTGAGCTTAAGGCCCTTCTTGGTAACCCATACCCCCGCCTGAACACCTGAACGGCCTAATTAGTTGCAGGAATGCGGAAGTCATGTAAATGGTGAAGCTACACTCAAAAGGAGCGCTGTACTAAAGTTCCAATAACATCATGCCTGACTGATTATTCCGGATTACTCAAGACTTTGGGTTGACGAATAGATTTTCAGGTGAAAAGAATCGGTTTTCACTTTAGGCGTTTCGACCTATCTCTTTTCTGGTTACGAAGGGAGATTACAGATATTCCCGTAAGCTTCTAGACCCCGAAAACCACCACTTTTAAGGATTGAATGAAATATCTCTATACCCCTTTCTAGAACTGACTGGTTAATGAAACTCGCAAATCAGCCTAAATGAAAACCCGAAATATACAAATTTCGGGCTGGGTAAAAACGTTATGTGCCATACTAAAGGCTGACATCTTCATTTGCATTTGTAAATAAGTAAAAATTCGTGGATACTCTTTATTAATCACCCTTTCGCGTCTGCATATATCCATACTGATATACCGGCATCCAAGAAAGTGGATAAAAGGGAAGTGGCATATGTGGCATCTGCCGATTAATGCATGCTTCATACGAGTGCACTGGCTCCAGGACAAAGAGCAGGGGAGCGAGTCGCAATATATATCTATATATAATGGTAGGGGACACTCACCGATCGTTATTACGGAAGTCACTCGTTCCGTTGTGTCTTATGGACTCTCTCTCGAGCTCAACCAGCAGCCGCACAGCGGTGCATGATGTAGGCAGAATGATATAACCGACAAAGACAAGGGCGACTGGGATGGCCATTTCTGGTTTATTAGCCGTCGTCAGCCAGTCATACCCAACCCCGAAGTGTGGTTCAGTGCTTAGAGGCGTGGACTTCTAACAAACAGGTCGCGAGTTCGAGCCTCGGGTGTTCCACACTTCGGGGCTGGGTATGACTGACTGACGACGGTTGATAAGCCAGAAATGACCATGTAAGCCTCCCTTGTCTTTGTCGGTTATATCATTCTGCCCATATATATAAATGAATCCGAACAACGAGTGTCCTGCTTTCGCTATTGAAAAATAGGCTAGGAAAATTGCCTAGAATAAGCAAGTGGGCAGAATGAAGGGGATCGAAGAAACTGTTGTGCTTTCTGATGAGATAACGTTAACTTACCCTTCCAACTGAGTACTGCAGGTAGTCTAGTATGCCTTCCAGGGGCAGGGGGAAGACCTCCTCAGTCTGTGGACTACCTCGGATGCTGTTACCCGTCTCGATGCGTTTCAACACTAAACGGAACCACTCCTCCGCCCTAGCATACTGTCCATGATCGTAAGCGTACTTCCCGAGGAGGAAACATTGGTAGTCTGGAGAATGCAAGACAAAATGCCCTGTAAGTCAGATTTTGTAGAGCGATTTCGCCTAACTAACAAAAGAGTCGTTATTAAAGGGCAATAAGCCTTCAACTCTATCCAAAATTGTAGCAAAGAGGGCGGTGTAGAAAATTTAACTCTCGACTGAGTGGCCTTACATCCTCAGTAGGCAGAGACACTGGAAAATTAAAACTGTTCATCTGGAATGACCGTACTAATGTGTACCATTTGTGCATAAAAGTGGTTTCCGAGACATCTAAAATGATCATCATACATTCAAGTCCATGGTTTTAAACAGGAAACCGTACAAGCACACACCAGAATCACTGTTTCTTATTTGGCTTCTCGAAGACGACAGCCGGCAATCAGGATTTGTCAACTTGTCTAGCGCCTAATATTTCTGGTTAATCCCCTTTTGTGCTCAAAGCGATAGAAATCCAGCCTTTAGCCAATTTGGTCAGAGCAGTTATCAGTACAAAATTATACGTCAGACCTATAAGCAGACGAGAGTTTTCTACTACGTCTTGGTTGAGCTACCTGTACAGATATCCAGCGTTGCCGCAAAATGTTCCATTTATTCAGAAACGCTTCTGAATGCATGGCATGCGCTGTGGTAGCTTCCTGTTTGCTTCTTGATATGATCCTCGTTGAACAAATAGGAAAACAATTGTTCAAAAATTAATCTTCCTTCCATCGATTTGGCCCTGTTGTAGTCAGGATTGCTCTAAGCAGAAGCGGGTCAACGCATACCCCCGAGTTTATGAATTTTAAGCGGACCTCAGAAGTGTGTCAGTCGGTTTCCTTGGAGACGGCTCAGGTATCGAAGTTCACTGAGATGCGCGTTAGACTGGCTCGTCTCAGGTGAGAACACTACTCTAACAGACCCCAGAGGGAAGCCTTGCCTTCCCCATGACAACCATCCAAGACAATCATTACCGTTGACCTCCATCTACCCGCAAGTAGTAACATTATATATTCCTTGCATCGCCCTTGCATTCCGCACAGAAGCTCTGCTTTGGTCGACAGGAAGTTCGCTCTCGTCACTTGCATCGGCTCTTACCAATGTGAATCAAGTGTTGCGGGGATCCTGATCGGCCATGTGCTTACCGTGCCGGAGTCAACTGTGGGGAAGTTCGCTACAATCATTGCTTGTCCGATTGGGTTGCACCTTGTGCTATTCTTCCCACATGCTGGGAAGCTTCAGGACTAGAGCCCGTCGCCTGTCCTCTCCGGCCCCACTTATACCGAGCTGCTGCCAATCAGACGAGGGTCAGTTGCAGTGGCCTTGCTGAGTAGTGCGACAAGGTGCTCCTTTTTGTCTTCACGAACGCAAGTGTTAAACCCTGATTAAAACTCTCTCTCTCCTTGCCCAAATCCCCTCGCAGTCTTGCCTCTGACTTTTTTACAGTTTGGAAAGTAGCTTGCCGGTCAGTTGATGCTTAAAATTCCAAAGTCTCGTCTCACCAGTACGTGTTCCATCCCACTGTCTTGTGGCGACGCGGACAGCAGCCTGGAGGTCTGCAGTGACGGAAGAATCCGACGACCTACTTAAGGGCCTAGCGAAATTTGAGTACACTACGTTCAACAAAGTCCCAATAACAAACCGATGCGAAGGGTATGGAATATGATCATCGGCTGTGGGGTAGACATGTGGGGAGAAGTAACGCAAAGTTCCATGGAAAATGTCATATTTGGCCTCTCTCTCTCTCATGAAATGTTAATCGAAATTTTGGAATATGTTTGTGCTAAAAAGGAATACTTAGGTGGAGACGGAATAACGATTATCCTGCAGCATAATGCAAAGTTATTTTAGTCATGCCAGAATGTCGGCTCCTTTGCGTTTAACTGTAAAAAACCAAACTCAGTAATCCATGGTAACCTATGTAGTATGATTTTTCCCCATTGGATTTCGGTGCGCCTATTAATTCAAATATATTTTATAAAAACAACGCAAATAGGGGCTCTTTTGTCCTTCCGACAGCAGATAGCATCTTCATAATACTTCATAGTCGAGAAAAAGTCATCCTATGTTTTGACAAGCTTCTTCGATTTCTGAATAACTTTGAACCCGACAGGTAGTTGTCCTTACGCTTAGGGTTTCCGAACCGCCGTCGGTATTCTATCTCATGAAACGGTAACCGAAATCCCGAAATATATTTCTGACTCGAAAAGGTTAATGTTATTGCCGACAAAGACAAGGGAGACTGGAATGGCCATTTCTGGCTTATTAGCCGTCGTCAGCCAGTCATGCCCAACCCCGAAGTGTGGAGCACATGGGGCTCGAACTCGCGACCTGTTAGGTAGAATTCCACGCCTCTAACCGCCGGGCCACGAGCCCGTCACCCTGTCGGTTTCGATGGGGAATATACAATAGTGGAGGCACGCTCATCGATCGTTCTTACGGAACTGACTCGTTCCGTTGCGCCTTGCGGGCTCTCTCTCGAGCCCAACCAGCAGCCACACAGCGGCGCATGATATACACTGCTGGTTGGGTTCGAGAGAGAGAGCGCGTAAGGCACAACGGAACGAGTCAGTTCCGTAAGAACGCTCGGTGAGCGCCCCTCCACCGTCGACAGGGTTACTTAAGTAGGATTGTAATAAGCACTTTCCTGCTGCATAATCCCAAGATATTTCATTTACTCTGGGATGCCGTCTCTGGAACGCGATTCCAGTCATCGGCAAAACTACATTCTGCAAAAATTACTGCTAAAATGATATGAATTTTTCCAGGATTTTTATTGTGTCCATAAACTCAAATATATTTTGTCGAAAGCATGCGCTAAACCATGCTTCCATACACTCATTTCCTATAAAAGCACATCTTAAAAATTTATGCACAAAGATCAGGTATATTTGGGGCTTAACAAGCGTTTAAAACTCCTGATGCGTCTAACCGGACCTGCCCTTATAGTTACATTCAGAGTACCGAAACTACACCCTGAACATTTACCCTGTAAGTCAAATTATACATTTCTATACGCCATAACGAAAACGACGTACTGCGCCTTCAATTTTTTGTAATGGGTGTGGGTCATGAGTTCTTCATAAGGGGCATAAATAAACAAACATATGAGATGCTTCATGAATGGACATTTTATACTCTAAAAATCTCACTATTAAACACTTTTAAAATCAAAAGTATCCCTTCTTCAAGCGCAAAATTTAAAGAAGGCAAATGTTTCTAGCAAATGAATGCAATAAGGAATATTCTTTGCATGCCTTCCATAAATATATTTGAACTTATAGGGGCATCGAAAGTCAACGGAAAAAATCACATCAATTAGGCGGTTAGTGTTATAGAGTGCAATTTTTGTAGTCAGCCGAAGAAAATTTTGTTTACAAACCAGCGTTTCGATGTGACTGAAATATTGTAAAATCATTCCGCACGGAAATCAGTCTTACTGTCCTACCTAAGTAACCGTTCCCGAAGCAAAAATATATTTCAGATTTTCGGTTAATATCTCATGAGGTGGTACATCGACTGTACATGCTCTATGTCTTGAGCGTGAGGAAGATCCTTATTTTCTTGGCGTTATTAGGAAGATGTCATACAGGTCTTGTAATATTTTGTTATGAATGCGGACTACAAGATGCTGCATAAATGGACATTTCACGGCCATAAAAGCTTCCGTGATCATGAAATTTTATAAATGAAAGATATCCTTTTTCAATTAAGAAATTCTCATATGATGTAAGCTGCTACCAGGTAGATAGAAAAAGTAATATTTTGCGCCCGTTTTTATTAACTATATTTAAGTATACATGGGAATCGAAAATCAATAATAAAATCGATATCGCATGAACAGTGGCCTATAACTGTGAGGCTTTCCACGCGGCCAAGAGGACGGGCGTTTAAAAGTCAACATCCTGACGGGACTAAAATATCTTTGAATTATGTCTCAAAATATTCACTATTACAACCCCACCTAAGCAGTCCTTTCCAATCGGAAACACACAGCAGGTGGGCTAACTCATGAAAGGTCAATAGAAATTTCGAAATGCCTTTCCGTTTCGAAAAGGTTAATTAAGTTGGGTTGTAAATCCAATAATTTTGCAGCATAATTCTATAATAATTCAGTCACCTCAGGAAGCCGGTTCTCGAATGAATTTATTTTTGGCTGCATCCAAAAACCATACTCCGTAAAAAATAACTACTTAATTAGCATGCACTTTTCCATTGATTTTCGACGCCCTTAAACATTCCATTATTTTTTATGGAAAACACGCATAAAAATATTCATTCTTTTGCTCGTTTAGTAGAAAATTACCTCTTCTTTCAATTTTACTCCCGAAAGAAGGGTTTAATTTGGTTTTAAAGGTTCTAATTATGACACTTTTCAATACCATGAAATGGCCCTTCATAAAACGTCATGTCTCTGCATTTACCAATGTGGCTTGTAAAGTTAACATATAGCTTACATCCACTGCTAAATTTTATAAGCCCCATATGGTCTCCTCTTAATAACGTAGATAAATGTATGGTTTTCCGTATGCAAAAATTATATGGCTTGTAGTTTGGGAACACTGAATGCAAGTGAAACGGCAGGTCGGGTTCAAAATTATTCGGGAATTGGAAAAGTTTTATAAAACCAAAAACCCCTTCCTTTGAGTATAAAATTGAAAGAAGGCGTACTTTTATACTCAGTGAGCAAATGAATGAATATTTTTGTGCATGTTTTCCATGAAATATAATTGAATCTTTGAGAGCATTGAAAATCGATGAAAAAATGCGTGTTACGTAAGTAGTCATTTTTATGGAGCATGGTTTCTAGATGCAGCCGGAAAAAAGTTCATTCGAAAGTCGGTCTCCTGGAGTAACTGAATTATTATAGAATTATGCTGCACAATAATTGTCTTTACAACCTTACCTAATTGTTCTTTTCGAAACGAAAACTCATTTTGGAATTTCTTTTGAGATCTCACGAGCTAGCCCACTTACTGTATTTCAGAAGTTTGGTCTACGTCTCATGAGATAGGCCCAAAACCGCGTAGAGACAGCTGAGTTAACCTAGAGCCAAACGCCCCTGTCCTCCTGGTCTGATTTGACGCATGCGCAGCTGACAACGGCAATGAGGCGACGAAATGGCCATTACGGTCTCCCCATCTTTATCTGTAATAATTTTAGAATTTGCCGGAGCCTGATTCCTCGAATTTATATATTTTCAGATGCAACATGCCCGATGAGAGAGAGAGAGAGAGTTATTGAGCTGACACCATTTCACATACCACAGTACGCTGTTATTTTTTCCAGCAGCGGCAGGAATACCTCGCCGCTGAGGCAAAAGGCATTTTTGGTAAGGAGCAATTAATTCGTGACTGTCTACACTTTCTTTTGTCTGGAAGAAAAAAAACTGTAAAAGTCAAGACCAGTGTTTGTCCGGATTTTTTCACTTTTTTTGCCGGGACTTCGTCTTACTTGCCCTGTGGTGCTGCCTGGGACTTCATTTGAAAATCACCATCAAAGTCAACGTTCGAGCATCCCTACTCTATTCACAATGAAACAGACAAACCGCCTCCATTTTCACCTTCATTAGTCGGCGTTGGGAGATCTAGGTCTTCTTCGGCGGATGCTCTCTACGAGGTGTTACAGTTCCTTAAATGAGCATTTACTGGACCTCAGGCTTCAGAATTCAGTGGAAGGTCCTGTGCGACTGTTGGAATTAACTTAAATGGTGCCAGACTCACGAAATGTTTACAGGACCGCCCCGCTTCCCAAGACCTCACCCCCGTTTCTATCTGGAATACCAAAAAATTGAAAAATTCCCGGGTGCGACTTGGTGCGGGAACAAAATTACCAAAACATCAGCCAGCCCACACATGTGATCATCCTGTAGGAGAGTTTGACCGGAAGAAAAAATCCTGTAATATATTTAAAGGTTTTTCAACCCCTAACTGTTGCGGCCGGAACCTCTCTGCTCATCAGAAAGCCTTATTCCACTTCTTCTTCTTCTTCTTCTTCTTCTTCTTCTTCAGAGAGAGTCTGCAACGTGCTTTGGATGCCCGGAAATTTTTTTGATTTAAAAATGACACGTGGAAGACAAAAGTCAATATAAAGAACTTTCTGACAGGAAAAAGTGCAGACGATATCGACAAATGAAGAAGCTTGGAGAACTAAGTGACCACAGACTGGGAGACTTTGGGCTTCTAGGGTAACGATGCGTCTAATGAACTCGCCGCTGGCTAACTACGAGAAACCTCGTCCTTTTTAACACGTAAGCAGACCCTCAACTTGCAAGACGGATATCAACCTACCACTGAGTTTAGGAGACTCGGACATCTGGAGTATGTGGCCATCAGCAACTGCACTGGCCGGAATGTCATAGGTTTGCTGCAGACGCAGGATGGCATCTGTCGCCCCGTCAATATCCTTCGTGCCCGGCAGCATTTCGCTGTACCACTTGAGACGCAGGAACATGGAGTGCCGCGAATCAAACTCATCGTACTGACTTGAAGGAGCGCCATCCTGCGTAGATCTCTCAGACGCTTCCTCATTCGACTCCGCTGACTCCCCAAAGAGCGTGCTCAGTTCTTTGGTCCAATCAGAGGCCATCTGGATGATGGTCAAAAACACCGACACCGGATTGGCTACCCTCTCCTCCTCCTCTAGTTCGCCTTCCGACAGACTTGAGTAAATGTGAGTGGCATTCTCCAGCCGATCAATAATGCCTCGTAGGCGGTTAATACGATCCTCCTCTCGCACCAGATAGCCCTTCAACTCGTCAGCAAGAAGCCGGCCGGCGGCCACAGCCTGGCCAATGTCGTTGATGGCCGTGAAGACCTCAGAAGCCTGACAGGAAATATCCGGTCCTAGGGCTGACACAAGCAGTAGTAGCGGTATCGACAGTACAGAAACCCACGTCACCATTGTAAACCGACCTCTGGGCAACTGAAAAGGCACACAGTTAAGGGCGGTCTCATGAATGAAGTTGTTTTACTAGAACCTTCCGCAGGAAAAAATTGATTGGCTGGGCGTTTCTGCTGGGGAAACTATCGTGGCAAAAGCGGATTTGACAGTGCGTAATTAGGTAACTGCGGGACTAGCACATAGGCCAGCGACTGGGGTTTGAAGGAGGCGGGGGCTGCGCGGACAACCAATCAGAGTAGCCCGCCGTTGGCCACACGTGGAAAGTCGTAGTGCTTTTCTCCTCAGGCAGGCGGTGCTGATGGAAGGCAGCACCTTGTCAGGATTTGCAATCATGGGACGCTGAAGAACAGAAGCCTACCATCTTCCTGCTCTTCTTTTCCTTACAACAGTTCAGGCGGTGGCAACCACAGCTGCACTTGTTATTACCGGCTAGGACAACCTGAATGGCAGCTGCGTTGTTACCACAGTGGTTAACAACTTCTTAGTTAAGGGATACTTGCGCAGCTTCGCACCACCAACCTTGCAGGTCGTAATGCCCTATACTAAATATATGGCTTCCAGAGGACTGCTGGAAACAAACCTGAATGCAAGTATAACAGCAGGTCTGGTTCACAGTTATTCGGGAATTAGAAAAGTTTCTTAAAACCGAATTATAATCTACCTTCGAGCATAAAATTGAAAGAAGACGTGATTTTCTATCGAATAAGGAAAAGAGTGAATATTTTTATGCATGTCTTCCATTAAATATTATTGGACTTTTAGGGGCATCGGAATAAATGGGAAAAATTCATGCTAAATAAGCAGTAATTTTTTACAAAGCGCCGCTTTTGCATGCAACCGGTAGGAAGTTCATTCAAAAGCCGGCATCCTGAGGTAACTGAAATATTATAGAATTATGCTGCACGATGGTTAGTTTTGCAACCCTACTTAATTAATCTTTTCAAAACGAAAACGGAATCTCGGTTGACATTTCATGGGTTAGCCCACCTACAGTAGAATTATCTAACGATGCGAATTTGCCAAAATCAAATAGAGCCTATTATTTCAAGCAAACGGGAACACGAACTTCTTTATCAGTCATTCGGCATAAAATTATCTAACGAAAGCAGAGTGTTTTATTTCGACTCCGGCGGATCAGCCATAAATAACGAAGTCGAATCCTCAAAATGCAACCAAAGAGCACACGTTTTTCAAGAACCACCTTGTATCTACCTGACAAGGCCCCTCTTTATTATAAACCACAGCATAGTTTGTACAGCGAAAACAGCTATCCATCATTTCACCTTTCCAGACTAGGTACGCCAGTTACATAAGGCTAAAATTAGACATAAAAGAAAATAACAATATTTTTAAGAAAACCAATATACACAGAATGTGCTATTTCATGAAGTGTTAGCCGGAATTATGGAATGTCCTTTCATCTCGGAAATATCACTTAGGTAGGGTTGTAAAATTAATCTTTGTGCAGTAAAATCTTAAGAAATTTCGATTATATAAGGATGTTGGCTCTTAAACGGACTTCTTCCCGGCCGCCCGCGTAAACTGAACTCTAAGAAAATGACTACTAAAATAGTATAGAAGTTTATGAATTCTTCTTGATGCTCATATAAATATAAATGTATTTTATGGAAAGCAAGCATAAAATACTCATTTTTTACTCATTTGGTAAAAAGTTATGTCTCCCTTAAATTTTATACTTTAGAAAAACCCATCTGTGGTTTTAAAAACCTCCAATTATGAAATCGTCTAAGGTCGTGAAATTTCCATTCGTAGGGCATAGTAAATCTTAATTTATTAATGCTGCCTGTAATATACACAATGCGCTTTGAACCCGCTGCAAAATTTCATCAAACCTATATGGTATCTTCCTAACAGAGTATAGAGATGCGTGTTATTTTATACGAAAAATATGCAGCTTGTAGTTTGTAAAGCCTGAATGTAGGTATAATAGCAGGTCTGATTCAAAATATTCCAAAATTGAAAATGTTTTACAATGAAATATTTATTTTTCCTCAATGTCAAGATTTGAAAAAGACATAATCTGCCGCCAAATGAGCGGAAGAGAGGATTTTTATTTTTTTTGTTTTTCATGAAATATGTCGAAGGTAAATACGGGAAGTTCATACCCACTACGTAGTGATTTTTGCAGGGTATAGTCTAGGCCGATGGCCAGAAGAAAGTCTGTTCATAAACCGACAACCATTTATGACTGAAATACTTTGGAATTAAGCTGCATGATTGTTAATATGGCAACCTTACTTAAGTAATATTTTTCAGTCGGAAACACATTTCAGAATTTTGGTTAACATTTTATGAATAAATTCATTTGCACTATGTGCGCTGCATGGATAATCTCATGCACTGAGTATAAGAAAGAGTTTTTTTGTGATTTTTATCAAATATAGTCGAGTTTATGAAGGCATTAAAATCCCTGGGGAATGCATATCGAACAAGGAGTCATAGAGTAATTAATGTGGTTTGTTCAGGTGGCAGTGAAAAAGCTCATTTGAAAGTCGGAATATTGGTAGGACCAAAATATGATATTACGTAATAATCATTACTATAACCCTACCTAAGTACTCCCTTCCAATTTACCGGGCAAAGGATGCCTTGCCAATGCACGCCACCCCAAATTGTGTGTATGAATTCACATGCACTTGCGGATGCAAGTACATTGGGCGTACGCAAAGGCAACTGGCAACCAGGGCCGCTGAGCATTTGCCTAATTGGCTTTTCAAACAGGAAAGCGAAACCCCGCGTTCGTCTATAACGAAACACCAGTTAGATAGCGTTCATGTTGTCGACCCTAAAGCATCTTTTCGAGTACTTGTCCGAGCGCATACAACTCGAACCTTGCGTTATTTGGAAGCAGCTTACATACGGAGGGAGAAACCAGACCTGTGCAAGCAGTTAGATCATGTGATCAATCTGCAATTGCCCTGGTATTCTCACACCTCTAGTTTCCCCTGACTGTGATTTGTTGTTAACATTTCGTCTCCCTCTTTCCTATATGATGCTTATGTGGACGTCTTATCTGATTATTCATTGCCTTGAACCTTGACCTTGCTCTTATGCACTGCCATTCTGTACAAATTCATACTGATGTGCGCTTTCATTCGTTACCTATGTTATGCAGAGACGGGTTGCAGTTGAAAAGCCGTCACGAAATTTATTGGCCCAAATAAATTCTGCTGTACATGCTTATTTTCAATTCATACCCGGGAAAAAAAAGGCTTCAAAATTACTCCCTTTTAACTGAAAACCCATTTCAGAATTTTGATTAACCTTTCGTGAGATTGGCCAGATGCTCGCGATTTGTAGAATTCAGCACCGATGTTCTTACGCGTACATCACAAAGTGTTATTCAAGAAAACTGCTCTCTCCCTCTCGACTGCAGTGTTGACTCGGCACTGCTCGGACGAACCTCATGTGTGTTGGCCATGACGTCTGCGATGACAGTCTTACACAAGTCCTCGCTGTAGTGGGCATGCAAATAGATCGCCCCCATTAACTGCGCCTCAGACAGACGGTGGTTCGAGGGGGAAGACCGAAGGCAGTACCGGACGCAGTACTTGACAGGGCTAAAGAGCCCCTCTGCAGGTGTCACACACGGTTGGTCCGCGCACAATGGACCAGTCTGATTTTAGGTTCAGTGGGGAGGATTTGGCAGTCTTCCAAGCCACAGATTCATCTCTAACAATTCGTTATTTTGTCCGTCATGCCTGCAGTACACATCCTACTTCTCTTTATGAGTGAGCTTTGGAAATAATTCTCCGACTTCTAAAACGACAGTTAGTGATCTAACTCATGAAATGTATCGAAATTTAGGAATGTCTGCCAACCACTAGTAAACCGACACCATTTCCTGTGTCCAATGTCTGTGTTAATTAAGTTTAAAAGTTTAAAAGAATTAAAGATAAAAAAGAAATGTTAAAGGCAGTGTTGCGTTGTTTAGAAATGCCGAATTATTTTGAAAAGCGCAATATCCCAAAAACGTCAGAAATGGCTCTAATTTAGTAAACTTCGTTTTTAGATGTATAGAATGTATTCTCATAATAGAAGCGTAACAAATATGAAAGTAGACATAAAATAACATCTAATAACAGTGTTTTAGTGAAGTTTACATCTAAATATCGTTTACTTGTTAGTGGGATTTCATGTATGACAGATTGTTAACTGCCTACATTCCGAGTGTAGATTCCAAAACAGTTTTCCAGCGTTTTCTATTATTCTTGTGGATTTTCAGTTAAATGAGATGAGATTCAAAAAGAGAAACTGGAATTTGCTTGATTTCACCGATGGGGACGTCGTAGGAACAAAAGTCTTCATAAGGTGACATGTCATGAGGCCAGTCGGTGCCTAATAAATTTAAGTAGAACTAGCAGGCGTGATCGTAAGCATATTATTCTGTGTTTGTGGAGAGAACGTTTCTTCTGTTAAATTACTTTACACTTCTCGTTCGTTTTGGATTATGTTGAGTTCAAAATCGGCCTCGAAATGTTGCTGAATACTTCACGATTTTCAGTTTTTTCACCCAATCTTCCATAAAGACAGATTCTCAACTACCTGTCTGTTGAGAACTTTAAAATAAGATTATTCTTGAGGGCATTTACCGAATTAGTGAGTGTTCGGACGCTCCGTTTCACGAAGATGGTCGTTTGGGTCACATGTGAAGACTCATTCAAACATCAAACTTCATTTTCGAGAAAAATATCTGTCCGTAACGAAAATCAGCTATGAAAATGCCTTCCATCAATAAGAAAACTCTCCTTTATAAGTCTAGGACATGTAGTAGCATAGAAAAAATTGCTCAGTTATATTCCAACGTCCATTTTTGGCTAAAATTTGCTGATATTTGACTTGATATTATTACGTAAACACAATTTCGGCACACAAAAAGGACAATTTTATCGAAGGATATGGATGAGCGAACAAAATGCGCAACGTTAAAGACGTCCAGAAATTCTCGCATCGGTTTCCCTTATCAGATTCCATGAGAT